TAGTGATCGGTTCCTTATGGCAATGACACACACACACACGCACACACACATATGACCATCTTGGTCTTCTTTAGTGGTAGCAATCATTTAAAAATAAAGCTTAATATTTGTAGAAGTGCACATTCATCCCAGGTCATTACAGTAGGGGAAATGATGCTCTTCACAAATAACTCAATTAAGCTTTACGATCACTAAACCACACTTCCATTTAATTATAAATCACCTCATTTCATATATCCAAATTACAAAGCACAGTCAGCCTCTCTTCATTTCCTTTTAGCAGTTGCAGAGTTAAGAAAATTGAAACGACCCATTAGCTTTGATTATCAAACAGGCTTAATAAATCGGTCATTTTTCCGTATCGTCTCAAATTAAAATTGCCCAGTGTGTATTTTCAATGGAGCGTCTGCTTCTGTGCCATGGAACTATTCTCCCGAAGGAATAATTCCAGCCACCAAGTAGTTACAAATCATGGAAATGAGTTGATGGAATATAGAGTAGAAAGGCACTCGATGCTAAATCATTAAAAATGTACTTTCTTTACCTCAGCTCCAGTGCGACGCCTCATTTGGCATTAGGTTGGCGGAGAGCCAAGCATAAAGAGCGATCTCGCTGTTCTGTGGTAAAAGATAATGCTTTTAAGACTAAGGGCAATATCCTAACAACACAGTCATGACATGCAGCAAAGAAACTGATTTAAAAGGTTTGTAATACAATTTGAACGCTCTAAAATCAGGTGGAACAGTATACCTAAGTGATGACACTTGGACTGCTGAAAGGAGGAAGTCAAAACTATTTCCTTCAGATAACATACAACACAAATACCTCAATTATAATTCACAAAAACAAACTGTAAATGAATCAACCAACCCTTCCTTCCCCAGTGCCACAACGTGTAAAAAATTGAATCATTTAATTACCTTTTCAACAGACTATTTTTGATCTGATCTATTTCCTCTTTTATATCGGATTCGTGCACGTTTCAGGATTTAAAAAAACAAATGAAGAAAATACAAAGTGACAGAGATCACCATTGTCCAACAAACAAATCATAAATCTTGCCAGGAAAAAAATAAAAATAATAATCCACCTATCACCACTTCAAAATGGGTGATTATGTGACTTCTCAGCAGGGTGCCGTGTAGATACCAGTAAGTCACTGCCCCTGGTTTGGCACATAACCCTCCATAAAAACACAGCTTGTCATTTTAACACTTTGTTTTAATCTGTTCAACAACCAGTCTTTAACAGACAATATGGGAATATCCTTATCTCACTCTCAATTACAGAGTGAATAAGCACATTTGCCAAAATGTTGAAATATTACACTATTTCTTCTTTTTTGTTTTTACACATCTGAGGGTTTAATAGTCTACAATTCATGGACCAAAAGAAAAATACAGATTTATCAGAGAAAAGTAATCAGACATGATACAAATATTGCAGAATCAGAACTTTGATAGCAGAGTTTAACATGATGTTAATACATTATTTAAAGTACATTTACATTACAAGGCTTTTCCGCATTATAACAACTGACTGCAGTGGGGTGGCATCCTGCTAAAGCAGGGAGGAGAGAGAGGGAATGGAAGAACTGGATTTAAATTCACTACGTCACATGTACTTGCTATATGTTTTAGCTTAGCGAGTCGTCAACGCGGCTCAAAGGACCGTGTCCAACAACTCATTTGCAGGAAAGAAGTTTGAAAGGTGCAGCAGAGGGTGAACTGAGTGAGCAGCTGAAAACTGTGCCGACGCTACAGAAGGGGGACAAAACAGGGGAGCAGAAGACAAAACAGCAACAGAAGGAACCGATTTTATAATAAGCCAGGACATAGGAGCTAATTACTTTCAACTTCTGATATAGTGTATAGTGTTACTTGTCAAGTCTTAGGTTCTCTTGGTGCAAATGAATTGTAGAATAGAGTAACATGTCAATGAAAAAAAATAAAAATACTTAACAAAAGGCAGAGTCATGACGGGAACACAACCACTGATGTAGCCTGGCAAGAGCAATGCTCGTTAAGACCAGCGTCAGCAATCCTCAATATGGTAGTTTAACAAAAGGGCAATGACGTCTTTACACAGAACAAATAGGTCTGTTTCACTACACTCTAAACTATTGGGCTTCATTATGAGGCTCTAAAATTCTGGATAGACATTTGTCCTCCTCTTTGTCTTCGTCTTCAGCGGTCTGAAATTGCATGGTGAGGCTGGCTTTGCTCCCCAGATCATGACGACGATTAATAAATAATAACGGTGAGATCAGGGGGACATCACTGAAGGGCTATTTATATCCACAAAGCAAAATTTAACCTTGACCATCTTTTTTTCCACAGTGACCACACTTGCCTTTCACAAGCCAAGAGTCAAACATCATATTTTCACACTTCAGCATCATCTCATAACTCTGACTTGGATATGAAATATTCAAATGCTGCTCTTGCCTGCTGTAATAGGCAGTGAAATTCCTCATCACAAGCTTCACAGACTGTGTTCTCTTTGTTTCAGGGAGGAAGTTGCCAGCACCTGTGAGCTGGTACATGTGAGGAGTGCAAAAAGCAGCTGGACTCTCATGTCTGTTTACAACATATTGTATCATAGGTGCGCTTTGGGCAGGACCCAGACACTCAGAGGTGCATGAGAAGCCACAAACTCTTTTGGGCCTATGTGGGAAAAAGGCTTTAATCTGAGTCAGTGTATGATGTGCGTGCATGTGTATATTTGTGTGTCTGCGCAGGTGTGCAGAGGGAGCAGAGCAGGCCGGCGAACAGACAGGCGCACCGGGTGCCTGTGAGGTCAGGGGCTAGGTGGAGTGTTAGCGGGAACGACACCTGACAGCAACTGGGTGGATGCGCCCTGGCAGTTCTGTACATTCACGTCACTACTGATAAAAGTCAGCAGGAGAAACTACAGTCCCGGTGCCACCGGGTCCTCCATACAGGACGAGGAGAGGAGGATGAGAACATTTCCGTCCGTCCTTGCCTGTCCCTCCAATGCTCACTGAGCAGACAAGTCGGGACAGCTGTGACGGCCATTGGTTGGGCAGGGGTGCAGGTGCCAACCTTGTCAATGCCAGAGGTGGGAGCAAAGCTACATGGCACCGCCTGATTTGGGTTTGGAAAATGAAACCTGGGTGCCTCACTTTTTGGTTGTGTAACAGCCAAGGGCAAAAGGAGGTGTACAGAACTTTCTGTGTTACTGTAAACGTAGCTGGACGGCTACATGTGTCTTACTGGGTAAAAGCACAGCAATCAGTTTCATGGGCTGACATTTTTGTTCCAGTGGGTCGGTGTGGAAGAGTTGACATGAACACCGACAGCAGAAATGTGTTGGTACAGTGGCTGCATATAGTAGCTCATTGATTCATCAACTTGATTCTGTCGGCGGATTTCCTCAGGTTCTCTGGATTAATCCCACTGTCCAAAAACATGCAAATCCCTTAAAATGATTAGCTCATCGATGGTTCTCAAAACATCTTTGTGTCCATGTTCTGAAGGAATATCCAAACCTGGGTCACCTGGAGCTCAACAGTCTGTCAGTGTTTCCAATTATCAAAAACTATACCCGAGAAATGTAAAGCCATACAAAATCACCTAATGTTTGATTATTGTCCTCAAATCAACATTAACTTTTGAGGCCTTAGTTTGCAGTGTTGCTATACTGGATTGCATTATAACATACTGGTGATGCTTTCAACGGGTCCAATCTGTGGTTCATAAAAAGCCAGAGACTGCCACCTAGTGTTCACATACAGGTACACAGAGGGAAACCCTTTAATATTCAGCTGCTGCTGCATTCATCCCAACGCAGTCAAAGCTTTAACTCGTCATTTTAGAACTTGAACAACGGCATCCTGCAAAAGAAAACAACATTTTCCGCGTGTGTGGCTTGTGTGGATGTATGCCGATTGCAAAACGGCCCCAAACACTCCCGCTTACTTTCCTTTGGAAAGAGCCGATCTGCAACTTTTCCTTAACCCCAGAACAAAACGGAAGTAATTGTCCAATGGGCGGGTTGTTTTCCCCACATTTTAGCTTTTCTAAATGACTGAAAATGAGGGTAAACACTTGGTGCTGTCATCACAAAAACAAACTGGAGGAAGGGAGGAGGTCGTATTGTGTGTGTGTGTGTGTGTGTGTGTGTGTGTGGGTTGGTGGGAAAGTGGAGGAAGAGTGGGGGAGGCAAACTTGGGACGCATGTGCTGCAAATTAGGCTTTGGTAGGCAGCCCCCTTGTGTCGGGAGCAGCGGAGGAGACAAGAGTGCGAGTGTTTCTGCATGGCAGCAGACTGCTGCCCCTTGGGGGGGGGGGGGGGGGGGGGGGGGC